TCTTTCTCTCTTCTGTGAATGATGATATGTTTGTTCTCATCAGTCTATCATACTACAATGAAATTTCGATATTTGTACCGAATATAAATACTTTAGCATGGAAGTAAATACCTGTCGACATGGGCAAAGAACCAGTCTTTCTTTGGATCACTGATGCCTACAGTGAACACTTGGTCAACTTCAGGATCAACATCAGAGTATCTGTCCCACAAGCCATATTGTCTGAACCTGTAAAATAGCTTGTCATAAGAATTAACATACAGACTTAATGAAGAGCGATCTTAATTGTCATTAAGGGCTGAATTTGCTTACTTTTCAGGGCTGTTGACAAATAGCTTGTTGACATACATGGGGTTCACATCTGGAACATAGTAGCCATTGGCCGTTCGGTCAGGGAACCCGATATCCCACATAGTTGGACCATCTCTTGGGGGAGCATAGGTGAGATTGCCAACTTCTGTGTGTGAACCTGAGGAATTCTTTTTTGATCAATATATCATACATGATATTATGACATGGACTAAACTATGAGATGTATATGAGTGATATATAAAAGTACCTGATGAAATAGTAACGTGTGCTTTATCAAGGTAATCGCCAATGAAACCAGGAACCCAGCCATGAAGGCCATAAACGCCAGGAATGACATTCTTGATAGTGAAGTTTCCAGTTGAATCAGTTTGCACCCAAAACTGATAACCCTGTAGAATCCCAAGTGTTCAAATTTTCTAATCTACTTTGTCTCACTAAAAGGTTTGAAAGAAATTATTTGAGTTTATTGTTTACCTTGCTTTCTGTTTGCCAGGCTCCTTCTTTTGTTGCTGCTGATAAGCCAACATACGCATATTTCGCAGGGATTAGAGAATCAGAAACATACCTGAAGTAAATTCAACAGTTTGAATGAGAAGTACTACAGAAATCTTCTTTTTCTTTTTGTCAAGAGTGTAAACTTAAAACGTAGCTACAGAGCATAAATAATACTCATTACCTGTCTTGGACGAGAAGTCTTCCTGAAACGGAACCGCGCTCTTTAGCGCTTAGATAATAAGGCGACGAGACAAAATCATAAGGCCATGCCTCCTCTTCTAACAGCCTCTAAGATGAATCACATATAATACAAACCGATAAAGAAAAAAGGTTTATTAATTTACTGTAATAGAATAAGAATTGATAGTCAAATGTTATAACTACTACCCCAACAAACTCACAATTGATCAAATTAGTACCTGGTTTTTTGCATCTAACCATAGGCTGTGTGCATCTGATACATCTGCTGTTGAGTTGAGGTATACAAAGAAGGGTCCAAAAACCTTCCTCCATGTCTCTCCTTCTCCAAAATGAGCTAATATATCTTCCCCAATATAATGGGTTCCATGCAGCATCTGTTGCAGCAAATAGATAATCACAAATTTAAAATTGTTCTAACTATCTGAACTAGAAATGGCTTATAAATAAACTAAAGAACTCAAAGAAACACATCTCAATAAGCATCTCATAAAGTCAGGCAACCGATTGTTTAAATTGTTTCGAGTTGGAAATTCACCGCGAGGCAGGTTGGCCCAGTGTGGGCAGTGAGATTTTGCTTTGTAGGACCACCATTTTGAAATTCATGGCTAGGGAAGATAACCCAAAATCCTATTACAGGTTTAGAGCTTATCCATCCATGAACTCCACCGTCTCTGTTGTCCATTGAGTACTGATATTTATCATCAACCTACATCCAAGCAAATAGGGAAAAAGAAAACCATAGTCCCTTGTTAGTCAAGCAATTACTTAATTTTTTCAACCAAAAAAAAAA